GCGGCCGTTTTAGCGGCGGTTTGCGGCGGGCGGCCGTTTTTTGCGGCGCTTTGCGGTTTGCGGCGGGCGGCCGTTTTTTGCCGCGTTTTGTGGTTTGCGGCGGGCGGCCGTTTTTTACGGCGTTTTGCGGTTGCCGGCGGCCGGCCGTTATTTGGGGTTAGCGGCGGGCGGCGGGTGGTCGTTTTTTGCGGCGTTTAGCGGTTTGCGGCGGGCGGCCGTTTTTGCGGCGTTTTGCGCTTCGCGGCGTGCGGCCGTTTTTTGCGGCGTTTCGCGGTTGGCGGCGGGCGATGCGGGCGTTTTTTTTTTGCGGCGGCGGTGTTTGCGGTGTTTGCGTTTTGCGGCGGACGCGCGTTTTTTTTGCGGCATTTTGTGCGTTTTTTTCTGCGGTTTTCGGCGGGCGGGCGATTGTTTTTTTGCGAAGTTTGCGTTGGCGTTTTAGGCGTGCGTTTTGCGCGTTTTGCGGTGTTTGCGTTTGGCGGCGCGGGCGGTTTTTCACAATTAAAGTCCCAACCTTCGGATCCGCAGTGCTGTTCGACAAGCGCTGCCCGGGCCTATCCGAAGGTTGGGACTTTTCAATTAAGAACAATCACTATTCTTTAGAATTGTGATTTTCTATTGAAAATCCCAACCTGAGCTACCTCTCTAGGGGGGTGTTTAGCGTTTCTGCCGCGATTTTGGTCATTTTGATCGCCGCCGAAACGGCACGGTAGAATTTCTTGCCATTTTCAGCGTTTGGTCCCGTATCGGGGAGCTACCGGCTGGCATCGGTCGCTTGAAATATAATTAACCGGTTTTGGGGTAATCGGCACGTGCATTTTCCCATAGGGTTAACATGGGGGAAAATTGAAAATTCGATTTGCGAAAAATTTCGTCAATTATATTTGCTGATATTTTTAGGGTCGGATCTCGGGCTGGCACCCCAACTGACGGTGGTAATTATTTAAAATATAATTGACAAAATTTCGGGTAATCGTCACAAACAGTTACCCCATGTTGAGCCTATGGCGAATTCGAAAAATTATTTTCAAATCGATTTTGCAAAAAATTTCCACGTTAGATTTTGAAAATGTTCCAATATGTTGTGCCCCGGGGTGTCGGCTACCACATGGTATGGGTCAGATATGGGGCGATCGAAAAGCACGTGCCACGTGCAAACGTGTTTGATGGGGTAACCTCCGGGAAAATCCGACATTGGCCTATTTGGGGTTCTATGGCGCGGAAACGACTTCAGCTAGCGACACCAAATCAGTGCAGCCGGTGAGCAGATGAGTCCATCTTGTCGCACTAGTGGTCACGTGGCGCACGTGCTATTGCACGTGCCGTGGCACGGGGTCAATTTTGGTGCTTAAATATACTAGCATTGTGAAATGCAAGGAATGGGGGAAATAGCCGTCAGGCCGTCAGTTTTTATGATAGGGTCGATCTGAAAACGGGTATAGACACAGAATGAAGGGGGCTAGAAAACTGCTATCTCGGATTTTTCGTAAAATGAAAAATTAAAAATTCTGGGGGAATTATATGTTCGAAAGGTGAAATTTCCCTAAATTTTCCCGTTTTTCGAGTTTAGCCGTCCACTGTTCAGAGACGGTGACACCGGCCGGGGTCATCTTTTACATGCTGATGGCCACGTCGATGGGTCATCACGTGGCGTGAACGGTGAAGCTATCAGAGGTCCGGCACGTGCCAAGTGGCCACGTGTTTGAGTCACGTACCTCCCAGATTATCGTGTGTTGTCCGATTTGTGGCCTTAGAGCACGTAAACTGCACCAGTTAAGAAGCCTGAAATGGTGCAATCAGTGAGGGGACAAGTCCTGCTTACACCACCAGTGGTCACGTGGCACACGTGCGAAGATGGGCACCTCCGTTGCGGAGATATTTTATAGTGAAATATTCAAATGTACATAACTTTTTCAGTTTAAGTCCGATTGGGCTAGAATTTGGTGGGTGGATGAATTGTTAAGCGACATGAACGAATGCGCCATGTTTGTTGCAGTGCGCCACGTTTGTCTCAAAGCGCCATTTTTGCCGCAAAGCGCAGAATGTGCGTAACTTTGTCGAACATTGGACGATTAGGATGCGCTGTAATTAAGGGATGGCTGCTTATACGGCAGATATGAATGCACCACATTTGCCGCAGGACGCCATATTTGTCTTAATGCGTCAGTGTTTGCGTTTTGCCTACGGCGGGCGTTTTTTGCGGCGGCGTTTGCGTTTTTTCGGTGTTTGCGTTTGACGGCGGGCGGCCGTTTTTGCGTTTTTGGCGGTGTTTGCGTTTGGCGGCGGGCGGCCGTTTTTGCGGCGTTTTGCGGTTGGCGGCGGGCGTGCGTGCGTTGCGGGCGTTTTTTGCGGCGGTGTTTGCGTTTTTTGCGGTTTTTGTGTTTGGCAGCGGGCGGGCGGGCGATGCGGGTGTTTTTGCTGTTTGCGTTTGGCGGCGGGCGGCCGTTTTAGCGGCGGTTTGCGGCGAGCGGCCGTTTTTTTGTGGCGTTTTGCGGTTTGCGGCGGGCGGCCGTTTTTTGCGGCGTTTTGTGGTTTGCGGCGGGCGGCCGTTTTTTTTGCGGCGTTTCGCGGTTGGCGGCGGGCGATGCGGTTTTTTTTTGCGGCGGCGTGGTTTGCGTTTTTTGCGGTGTTTGCGTTTTGCGGCGGACGGGCGGTGTTTGGCGGCGTTTTTGCGTTTTTTTGTGCGGTTTTCGGCGCGCGGGCGATTGTTTTTTTGCGAAGTTTGCGTTGGCGTTTTGGGCGTGCGGTTTGCGCGTTTTGCGGTTTTGCGTTTTGCGGCGGGCGGGCGGTTTTTCACAATTAAAGTCCCAACCTTCGGATCCGCAGTGCTGTTCGATAAGCGCTGCCCGGGCTATGTATGGAGACGTGCAGACAGGTGCGGAGTGCGGTCCCGCTTCCTGGGAAATGCTGGTCAGAAATAGCCAACCGGTACCGAGCTTACTACCGCGCCGGCTGTCAGACGAGGAAGCCCGCAGCGTGGTACGCGTATGCGAATTGCTTTAGGGATTTTTTTTTTGCAAACCTTCTGGTTGGGACTGGTTGCGAAGGAATGTTGAGGCATAACTGCATTCGTGGCGGGCTCAAGGGCTGGCTAGCTGATCGTAGCGCGTATTTAACACATTTTTACATCTGTTGAAGCTATCAAAACACTAGCGCCGGCTGCGGTGCGGAATATTGCCAACTGACCCAGGGTTTTGCTGATCCTTCATCAGTGACCCCGTCGAGTGGTTAGTTGGTAAGGCGCGGACCGGACCAATTGATACACTGTCAATGACCTATGACGTCAACGAGTGTGATCAGCAGCCGCGGAGTTCAGCCCCGAGCCTGCCGAGCTGTCTGTGAGCGTATCTGTGCGGTCGGTCGGCGACGCTTGCGGCTTGGCCCTGTCGTGACCGTACGGTACGCTGAAGCCCACCACGAACTGACCCATGTCGTGAGCGAGCTGGCGGTACCGTGACCAGCGGCGCTACTCCGGCGGCGCCGCTGATATTCCCACGGTCGGAGTGGGTCCGGTAGGACAGCGGCACGGCGTGACCCGACCCGACCCGAGGTCGCCGTGGCTCGGTTCTGCATCTACTGGGCGGTGACAGACATGACCAATGACCATTGATCGGTGACCACTGACCAGTTGCGTGGGAGGGGCGGCAACTCGGTTCTTTCGTTTGTTTATGTCCACTGTCCGCCGATCGGTGACCATAATCACTGACCGCTGATCAGTTTTGGGGTGAGGATGGCAGCTCGGCGATGTTCACCGCCGCAGGTTGGTACTGACCAGTGTCCTCGGGTCGGTGACCTCCGGCCGGTGACGGTCCGGTCGGTCTGCCGCCGCTGTGGCTCGATACTGTCCTCCGGCGGGTGACAGCCCGGTTCACCGCCGAGGCTCGATGCTGTCTAGCATCTTCCGGTCGTTGACAGCCCGGTCGGTCGCTGTGGCTCGGTGCTGACCTCCGGTCGACTGCCCAGTGACCTCGGGTCGGTGACCTCCGGTCGGTGACGGTCCGGTCGGCCTGCCGCCGCAGCTCTGTACTGTCCTCCGGCCGGTGACAGCCGGGTCAGTCGGCTGATGCCGCTCCGACAACGAGGGGCCCGTCCGGGCAGCCCCACGCCGGCCACTGTGAGGCTCCTCTGGGTGAGAGATGGAGGCGAACCGGCCCAGCGACAACCGTTACACAAGCCACACGGCCGCGGACGCCGACCGACCGATGGACGGACGGACAGCGTCTCTGGTGTGACTGGCCGAGCTGGTCGGATTTCGGCCCGGAAAACGGCCAAAGCTCCGCCGAGCTCTGCTAAGCTCAAGGAAGCTGTGAGCTCAGAGATGAGGCACGTAGGGTTAGCGGTGAGACTGGCATGGCGAGTGTGAGATCAGAGGAATCCGGCCGGGCTTGAGGTCTGGTAGGGCCATCAACTGCTCGTAGGAAGGGGCGGTACGCGGCACGACCGCACCGGTGTAGTGAGGTGGGCTTGGATTCGACGAAACTGCAGAATACCGCAGTATTTCATATTGGCCTGTGCAATGCAACTTTGGATTGGGGATGGGGAACGTTCAGTTGAAATGTGAAATGAGAAAACGCGCTTTTGATGGAATTGTGGCATGTCCTTAATTCCGGGGTGCAAGTTATGGGATGCCATGCTTACTATGCTTCGCTTTTACCTAATGAATGATATTGCAAATGCTGCTTATTGCTTTTCCGTTGCAATAATCCCTGTGCTTCGCTTGCAGTCTTTGTGTATCGCTTCTACTGCATTCCGCCCATCATTCATCATCGCTTCAGCTGTGATAAATGCCAGGTTTTAGTGGTTGTGGACAGTTAACCGCTACCTGCATCGCTTCGTCATTTATCATGCTTTCTCGCAGCTCATAACTCATGCCCGTTATATCATCTAAATAGGCCCGCGTCACCACCGTGATTACCTCACAGGTGCTGCCGAGTGCCGGTGTCTGACGGTACAAACGCGCGGCGCGCCGCCCGGCCCCTGCCCCTGCCCGCCCCTCCCCGCAGGCTGTTGGTAACGTGCTGCCATCTGTCACCAATCAGGTGTACTACACCAAGAAGCGGCGTCAACAGAGCCAGCGCGAGGAGGGAGGCCACAGGAAGGAGCGCCGGCTCTACAATGACGGCTGTGACGACGCCAACAACGACTACATCATCCGAGCCGGCGAGAAGTTCGCCGATAGATACGAGATCGACTCGCTCATCGGCAAGGGCTCGTTTGGACAGGTGAGAGCCTTCCCGGGGTCGTGTGGTGAGAGCCGGCCACGGGATGGGTGGTGGTGGGTGAGAACCGTATGCTGATGATCAGTACTGGGCGGTGGGCCGGTCGGGGTTAGTTAGTGACTGCGCCGTGGCATACAGGGTGTAACGAAATTATCCGGACATCTTTCTTCGCGCTGTAATTAAGAAGCAAGACATTCTTATATTTTCCCTTTTGAATTATTATATAGCCACCTTTCATAAGAGCGCAGGTACACATTTTTGGAGCATTCCAGCCACTGGATTTTCCAGCACAGTGGGTTTCATATAGAGTAGCGCCTTACTAACCTGTGCCCGCAGTTGGGCGGCGCTGGTGGCGGGTGTCCCCTCATTCATCTCCTGATGGACAATAGTCCATAATATATCGACGGAATTGCATGGGAACTATTTCCAAGCCATAGCCCTTTAGCCCAGAAGAACAAAAAGGTCCTCTCGGCATCACTTCTCATTCTGCTAGGGACTTGAAGGTGGTGCGCCGCCCCGTATGAAGACTGCGCGGCTTGAATCAGGTATCGGTACACGTTCAGAAACCGAGCCATCCTGTGCCGTCTGGTTGAGTGGCTCCAACCAATCGCTAGCCAGGATGTTGCGCCGGTAATACTCGTCACTGATAGTGGTTTTCTGTGTCGTCATGAACAGCTTGAATATTACACAGCAGCTGAACATGCTCCAGGTCTGGATTTTGGCCGGATGTTTGACGCCGGCGACGGCCGGCACATTCGAGCTGCTGGCAGCCCACACATGGCCGATTTGACGGTTCAACGGGTATCGCAGCTCGAACAGCTTCCCATCCGACCAGGTCACCTCATTCGTGTCTTCCTTCGACCAGTGGACACGCCCTGGCCTGAAGCCAAAGGTGGTGGACTGGTTGTTTTCCCGTCAATTTCATTGTCTTTTCCAGTTTGAAGGGAAGTAAAACCAAGCTAAAGGGCGGGTAACGGTGAATCATGATGTGGGACCTCTTATTATCTACCTTGGTAAGAATTCGAGTCAGTATGCGGATTAATTGGTGCCGTTTCCTTGTCGCTATCTTGACAACTCTCCTCACCACTTGGCAAAGGGCGCCTTTTGCGATCGAGGCCGGGCTGTAGAGTTCTGCACGGCTGCAATTTTCCACAGCCTAGCCGCCCCGCAGCCGTGGCTCCACAGCCACAGCCGCCCATAGCCGTGGCAAACTGTGGGCAGCCAGCCGTCAGCCGGCCGGGCATACTTTCAATGAAATGCAACCAAATAGTATATAATAAGTTGTTTTTAGTGGGCTATAGATTCCCAAGCTCATGAAGCATCATAGGTTAAGCGGTTGTGTATCTGGCTTTAGGCCAAAGGCCTGAAGCCTGATGCGCAACGCATGCCTACACAAGCCCTTGCAAGGGGTTAAGAAAGATGGGTAGGTAGGTACCTACATCAACAGAATACATAAACAACGAACCAGAATAGAAGCACTAGCAGTGTAGACATCTAATGCCAAATCCTGAAGCATGGTTGTGGGACAGAACAACAGACCCTGATGCTTTTCATTATCAATGTTAGGTAGGTATGGAAAATGAAACTGAAGTTGATGGACTGTCAAACAGTGATTGTCTAGTCAAAACTCTTGCTTCTTTCTTACCTTGCATATTTTCTGGGGTGTGATATGCCAGGCTTGAAGCAGCCTTCTGAGCAAGTCTCAAACTAATTTGATATGCAAGGCATCAAAACACTAGTGAGCATCGAAGAAAGAAAAACATTCATCTATTTTGATTTTTCCAAATAATGATCTTCGCTCAAATCCCCAAGGACGTGCGAGCCACAATTGCCCCTTTCAATCAAAATTTTACTTGAGTTTTTGATGACGTCAATAGCAAAGAAGTGGCAATTAATTGTTTTGTGTCACTATAAACAGCCATACAAGTTAAAAATAATAAATAATAATGCTATACAGTTAAAAACGTGCTCTCAAACAAAGAATAAATATCAAATTTTTACATTTCCAGAAGAAGACGTCATTTTATTAGTAATGTCAACAGCTCGCGTATGAAATATTGTGTTCAGGGTTTTCACCGTCATGTGAATCACGTGTTCAGGGTTTTCACCATCATGTGAATTAACCGTAAGTAAGGTTCATGCTCACTTATAATCTAATTCCATTGGCTTCGTTGATCAGCATTTTCTGTTAGCGGTCACTCACACACCAGTTAGAACATAAAGCGCCAGTTTTATATTATGTAATTGGACTTGCCGAAAATCCAGAAATACATCTAAGAGTTATCGACAATAAATAATACGTGAAGCGTTTCAGTTTTTTGGGATAACCGCCCAAACCACACCACCTACAGACACGATTCAAACACCAATCGACAGCTCTCGATCGTGGCTATGTGCGCGGCACATTTTAATCGCATTTGCACCCCCCAAATAGCCAAACTCGGCCCCTCGACTATGTCGCCCGACGCTCCAGAGATGGCGCTGACTGTCTGCGTGACGTCAGCTCACACGACCGGCGATCGCCGATCATAAAACGTTTATGTCACCGCTGGACAACCAATTCCAGCGGCCTGTCTTGCTTTTGCCCTCTTGTTCTGAAAAATTGGTCAAGAAACATGGCGTATAACCTTCATTTAAAACCAAATTTGCTCCCAACCACTTCGCCGTAAAACGCCGCAATACGCACCAGACCATGTCATCAAGCCGTGCAGACTACCATGGCCTATTCAAAGCGTCGTTCCGTGCGTCCTTGGTAGGTCAGTTGATAGAGTGGTAAACTTCCATGGGATGGGTCGCTGGTTCAATTCCAGCCCGGCACGTTTTTAAAATGCACATCTTTAGTTGCAGTACCCGGCCGCCAGGGTCGCGACCCCGTAGAGGTCGCTGCGATCCCCACGTGACCGACCGGCCGCCGGCCGGCGCAGCGGCGGAGCAGTATGGGGCGAGCGGGCGGAGGGGTTGGTGCGGTAACTGCGGTGCCGTCAGAGCGGCCGCTGCCGGACAGCGGGAATGCGGCATGATACAGACATGGGAAGGGGGGGGGGATAGGTAAATGGTGGATGGATGGATGAAGAAATGATGGAGGGAGGGAAGGAAGGGTAAGTGAGCAAATGATTGAGTCGGTGAGAGAACAAGTACAGAGGATGGAGCCGAAAGATGTTTTTAAAATGCACTTACAGCTTAGTTGCAGCACTCGGCCGCTACGAATAACTACATTACCGATCCTGAGTGGCGGGCGGGGGGGGGGGCGAGGTACCCAGATTTGGGATAGGTTGGTTACAGAATTCCACAAAATACTGACAAGATTATCGATTATGTTTAGTGGGGACGGGGAAGGGCACAGGGAAGGGCACGGGGACAGGACGGAGACGAAGACGGAGACGGAGATGTAGCGGCCAGCAGGAGCGGGGACGGAGACGGAGACAAAGAGAGCGGGAGCGGGAGCGCGGGAACGGGGACGGAGACGGCGACGGAATCGGAGACCAGACAGATACAGAGACAGAGACAGAGACAGAGACGAGACAAAGACAGAGGCGGAGACGGAGATGAAGCGGTCAGCGGGAGGGGGATGAAGACGGGGACGGAAAAAGAGAGCGGGAGCGGGAGCGGGAATGGGAGCTGGGACGGGAACTGGGACGGACATGGGGATGGAATCCGAGACGAGACAGATACAGAGACAAAGGCAGAGAGGGAAGACGGAGACGGAAACAGAGCAGGCATAATTATATCTTTAGCACTGAAAACATTACCGACCGTGAGTGATGGGTCCCGGAGGGGGGGGGGGGGTGCAGAGGGAGGAAGGCGGGGAAGGCTCGAGGCGAGTCACTCAGATTTGGGATAGGTTAGTTACAGAATTCCACAAAATACTGAAAAATAGCGATCATGTTTAGTATTACGAGCGTACCAATATACGTATAGCGTCTTGAACTGGGACATAAAAACGTATATGTATCTGCGGCGCGGGCGGGGAAGAAGCCACCAGGGGTGGAGAATTAGGGGTTTTGGGGGTGCTGGAGCACCCCCTGAAATTCAAAAGTCATCATATAATAGTGCTCCAGGGGTGCTTAAATTACGTCTGCGACACAAACTGTTTTGCGTAAGTCGCGAGGAGAGTGATGCTGCTGAAAAACGAACCAATATGTGCGTTTCTACGCAAGAATTCGACGATTCTATTCGCCAGGTGCTAGAAAAGCACCCCCTGGGGTTATGACAATTCTCCGCCCCTGGAAGCCACTAGCCAGTACTTTTTTCAGTACCAAGAGGGGATTGGAGTGGAGGGGAGAGGAGGGAAAGGGAGGGAGTGGAGGGAAGGGGAGGAAATCGAGGGAGGGAGGGAGAGGGCCGGGGGAGCGAAGAAGTGCGATGAAGGAGACGGAGAGAGGAGGGAGAGAGACGGATGGGGCGGGGTAAGTAAGCATACCATTGGATCAGTGATCGACAAAGTCAGAGAGCGGAGAGGAGGGAGGGAAGAGGGATGGAGGCAGGGAGGGAAAGAGAAAGGGAAAGGAAAAGAGAGAGAGAGAGAGAGAGAGAGAGAGAGAGAGAGAGAGAGAGAGAGAGAGAGAGAGAGAGAGAGAGAGAGAGAGAGAGAGAGAGAGAGAGAGAGAGAGAGAGAGAGAGAAGCGGGCATTATGGACGGGACGGGCAGGGATTTCTATATAGATGTTCAAAGGACGATTAGCGCCGGTAGGCGCGGGAGGGTGACCTAGGACGGGCAGGGATTTCTATATAGATATTCAAACCACAGTGTATAAATAGTTCAAACGACGATTAGCGCCGGTAGCGCGGGAGGGTGACCTAGGACGGGCAGGCATTCTATATAGATGTTCAAACCACAGTGTATATAAATATTCAAACGACGATTAGCGCCGGTAGCGCGGGAGGGTGACCTAGCGGGCAGGATTCTATATAGATGTTCAAACCACAGTGTATAAAATAGTTCAACGACGATTAGCGCCGGTAGGCGCGGGAGGGTGACCTAGTCGACAATAAATAATACGTGA